GTTTGCCCCCAGGGAAAGGGTAAGAGTTTAAACTGAGGTGATATTGCTGGGTCCGGGGTGACTAGCAATGTCTGGGAGGAACAAGAAGCACTCACACTTAGAAGTCAGCTCCAAAGAGACCCTGTTTAGGCACATTTTAACCCTCCCCCAACATTCAAAATGTATAGTACAAGCTGTGTCAATAGTTCTACCCATTCCCCCAGACAAGGTAGGCACACAGATAAGAAAGGCCGTACCACCAAAATTAACTGCTCTAAAGAGACCCAGTGTTTTCTAAGATGCACATTTATTTCACGTTAACATAGGGTTTCCCCTTTCTCCCTGGGATATAAAATAAAAGTGCATTTTAGAATTAATAGCATCTTATATTTCTCCAGATATGGGCAGTACACAAAGAATTACCAATGTGAGAAGGCCAATCCAGGAAAGAGCGGTAACACACTGAGCAGTCAGGGGAACATACATGAAAGGAAAGAGATGATCAAATAACTTATAAGAGATAGTATTTTATCTCTAAACCAGGAAGAGGTAATTATGGGGGGAAATCGATTCGACATCTTAGGAATGAAAAATAAAATTGTTAAAATACAAATCTATAGATCTGGAGAGCAGAGTGGACGAACTACAGAACAAATTAGCAATGTGTCTGATGGAGTGTGGGAATTCTCCCAGGACACCGCAGAGAAATGGAAAGTCTTAAGAATAATTGAGGGGTCCTGTATTGTGTCATTTCCCATCATAGGGATCACTCCAAACGGAGAATCAGGAGAGGCAATGTCCGAGAAATAGCTGAAATTTCTTCATATTGAACCTGATTCTAAAAAAGTTTGGTAAGCAGAGGGGAAGAAAGCTTTCTACATAAGAGGAGTTTATACCAGAGTAAGTAAAAAAGTATTGCTCCTGAGGTTCCAGTTCACCCATGCACGGGGGGTCTTTCAAACAAAAAGGGGTGCAAACTTGTCCGCTCTCAGTAGATATATGCAGACAAGTGCTCGCAGTCATACACTTAATCCATTAGTCTCGTTACTGGGTGCCTTCTGAAAAGAGCACGCCTTAAAAGAAGGGGGTAAATGTTGATCTGTACATCAGTCTTTTAAGCAAGATCAGAGTTAATGACGATTTTATGGAATGAGTCCATACCTTCCTCGTGGATTTACCAATGCAACCCAGAGAGCCAGGTCCCATCAACAGTGCGTTCTGAGGGGCTCTGGTGGGCCAATGAAATTCAAGGCTAAGAGATCAGCTCAGCAGGTTATGGTGGCTGGTTTCGCTTGTGAAGAGGGTCTCAAAGAACAGGATGGTAGCAGGGACTTTTTAGGAAAAGAAAATAGAAAACTGAAAAAAATGAAAGGAAAGTTGGGCCAAGAAAGGTTTTCTTTTGCAACAATGCACATTCTCAAGGGTGGCAGGGCTGTCCTCTGGGAATTGTGCTGAGAAACCACGCCCCGCCTCCCTGCATCCCCGATCTTGTCCCTTCTTTCTGCTCCTCAAACCCAACATCCCACAGGGAAGCGCTTTGAGGCCCCAGAGTGTCAGTGAGGGAGCGTGTCTCCAGAGGTGTGTCTGTCTGGACAGGATGTGTCGAGCAACAACAGCTTTATGTTTGGGTATTTTTGTCTGAGAAAGGTTTCTCTGATTTTTTTTCCCATTAATCATTTTACTAGGGGCTCTTACAGCTCTTATAACAATCCATACACCAATTGTATCAAACACATTTGTATATATGTTGCCATCATCATTTTCAAAACATTTCTGCTTGAGCTCTTAGTATTAGCTCCTCTTTTTTCCCTCCCTGTCCTACTCTCCCATCCTCGTGGACCTCTGATAAATTATAAATTATTATTTTCATATCTTACACAATCCACGTCTCCCTTCACCCACGTTTCTGTTCTTAGTCCCCCTGGTGGCCGTGAGGAGGGGGGTCAGGTGTTATTGTCAATAACTGTAGTCA